GTGTGTGTGTGTGTGTGTGTGTGTGTGTGTGTGTGTGTGTGTGTGTGTGTGTGTGTGTGTGAGAGAGAGAGAGAGAGAGAGAGAGAGAGAGAGAGAGAGAGAGAGAGAGAGAGAGATCTTAAAATCAGTAGTGGGAAGATAGCCTTTGTGCCTCCAGATTCTGTAACAGATTGAGAGTTGTTTTCACTTTTAGGAACTGAGCATTTCTTCCCAATCCCAGCTTTCTTGAGTTGCCTTTTCAGTGATGTGTTCCTTTCTTTCTCCTCTAACTATATATTGCGGAGAGAGGCTTGTGTCATTATTAACCCTTGAACTACCCATCAGTGAGAAAGTCACAGCTACTGAGGCGAGGCAATCAAGTGGACTGGACACAATTGGTTAAGCATCTTGTGTTTTCAGTCTCTCATTCAATATCCCTTTGTGGAGGAGAATCATCTATGTGCCCATTCAAATGTCCTCAACTCCAGATGCTCATTTGAATGAGTGGTGAGGATGAAGGTAAGAAGAAAAACAAAACCACCATCTCTGGTCCCTGAGTCTAAGAAAGCTAGGTCTGCATGGATGGAGGCTCTAAGAAAAAGCATTGGTGAACAAGAAAAAGCAACTTGAATTATGGCCAAGGATGGAATGATTCTACTCAATGTCAATGTAAAGATCCCGGTAAAGACTGGTGTTTCTTTTCAGTCTGACTCCTAGTCTGGACATCTCTAAATGGAATTCTGGGTAGATAGTGGGACCTCTAGCCAGGGAGTTGTGGAGGTTACAGGGTGCTTGATTTCATTACAGACCATTTTATATTTTTATATGGTTACTCTTAAGGAACATGTGGCAAGGCATTTTTGTTCCTTCAATAACAACAAGAAGTAGAAATCTAAATAAACCTGTTACTACACACTTCAGAAAACTAAGCTACCCAAGTCACCTCCAGAGAGCAGCAACTGAACAAGCTGTTGCAGGAGTTCATGCAGCAGCAGCAGCTGTGCAATGCATGTGCTCTCAGTGCTGAGAACCTGAAGACAAGTGGGTGACTCTTCTCCAAGTATAGTTAGTGTTGAGACTATTTCAAAAACTATAGTTTTAAGATTTTTATGAATTTATTCATATTTCACATCTTATGTATTTTGTTAGGTGTTTCCTTATGAACTTTATGGTGTCAGGTCTTTTTGACTTCAGAAGTGAGAACTAATGTTTTCTTTTATTCATGCTGCATATTGGATAACTTTAGGGGTTTCATGAATTTTGTTATAGACTGTTTATATCTTTTCATAAAAAAGATTTCATGGATATTTCTGACAACACGTGGTTATTCTAGTTGTGTTGCTATCAATAAGAAAGTGACAGCCTCTACCTGGTTTCTCTGACACATATCCATCAGCACAGGGGATGCAATCAAAGCAGCATATGGGTTGCCCCTGCCGAATCCCCTTCCGGGTCCCTGGAGGACACAGTTTTGTGCAGACTGAATCTGGAAGCTAGTGAAGACAAGACAGTAGGTAAAACAAAACCTTAATTGTGAAACCAAGAAAGTCCTCAACTGTATTTCCAGGGAGACAGGTGATCTATCTATCTATCTATTTATCTATCTCTATCTATCTATCTATCTATCTATCTATCTATCTATCTATCTATCTATCTGATGAACCCAGGATAGCGAGCTAAGATAGAAGACAAACATGACAATATGGAGAGCCTGGAAACAATTTCTACTAAAGAACTGTCTTGTGATTGACTATGGAATTGCTAAACAAACTCTAGTGACACTTCTTTGTAATCTTGGTGATCAAGACCAAAGTAATATCACATTAGATGCCGGGGAGAGGATAGTTTGCTATGTCTGTTCCTGTTTTGATGAGACATATGACCACAATAATCATTGTCAGCTCCTGTAAGATATTTATGCTGGTAAAAATATCCCAAAGAATTATTATAGTTAGACATCTAGTATAGTTAGACATAAGTGGTTGGTAGAAATGAAGAAAAGTCGTTCTGTTACATGAGAACAATCATGAAGGTCAAAAGATAATATAGAGAGGACATAGCTTGTAATATTTTCTTGCTATCTACGTTTAGAAATTTCAGTAGTAACCACAGGTCTCTATATTTTTATATTCTACATGGGTATGCAGCTTGAAATCTATGATAAACCAGACATAAGTTAATTAATTATACATGAATCTGGGAAGATAATATTTACAGGATAAATAAAATATTTTTTTCTGAGCCAGCATAGTGACAAATTGAGGTACTTATTATAACCCCAGATAAAAACACCAAAACCAAACAAACAAACACAAAAACAAAGCAAAATTGTAGAAAATTCAAGCCTACAAAATTAAACCATATACCCTTTAAAACCTACTAAGATTTTTTGGTACCATTGGCAAATTTTAATTTTGTTTTAATTACCTATAAAACGCCTCCATTATATAAATATAGCTCCACTATAATACAGGAGATAAAAATAAAATTACTTTGTTCTATTGAAACATTCTCAAAATATCAATACATTACTAAATTATGTTAAAATTCTCATGAATTCTAGTTAAAATGGATTTTTAAAACTCTACATAGACAAACAATATCAAAATCATATACTACCCTTGACTGACTTGGAATATGACAAAAACTTTAGGTGTTTCAAATTTATGTAATACCTAAAAGAAATTCTCTATATATATAAATTAAAAAATGTGGCAGGCCAACTAACCCCTGAAGATTCAGTGTTCCAAAATAATGTTGCATTCTTCAGAAGAACAAGTTCAAAATTTGATTGTTGGAATTTGTATTCTCCAACTTTGACAAAGGCGATTTCTCCAGCATTATCTATTTGCCAATTGAGGATATCATAATATCCACTTTCCAGATCTCCATTCAAGTCAAAGTGTATATTTCTTCCATCATGAGTAGTAAATGTCAATTCCTTTAAGTAAGCCAATAGCTTAGAAGGAAGATGGAGAAAAAAATGGAATGTGTAAATATTTTATTACTGAGAAAATAAAGACACACTGAAAGTATATGTAATTATGGGATTTATTTTATTTTATTACCATGCCCATTTTGTCACCAACTCTGATATCCTCTATTCATAGGCAGCAATTCAAACATAAAAAGTGGTTGACTAAATTGAGATGTGCTCTGCATGCAACATGCATACTGAATTATAGAGATGTAAAAAGAATGGAAACTACCTATTAATAATTTCACATTATTATTTTAATACCATAACAACACATTAAATTATTATAACATGTTAAATAATATTTTAGATACACTGGTTTAAATAATTTACTTAATTTAATTTTACCTATTTTTCTTTAACTTTGACCACTGGGAAATTTTAATTTATGTGTGATGTATATTAAAATTGTGTATGTTTTTGTTAGAATAATGTAAGATCATACTGAGGCTTAGCAGTATTACTTCCCCATATTAAGAGACAGGAGAATACTTAGAATATTTTTCATTCCCCCCTACCCACTTTCCCCATGTAAGTTATAAAAATCCACAACTATTTCCTTCCTTTGAATCTTGTGGAGGGACTAGACCATTAGGCACTGCAAGTTAAATTCAATAGACTTTACATTGTTGTTGGCAGCACTAATGTACTTCAAAAAAAGATGATGGGCACTGAAGAACCTCCATATGGAGCTTGCTTTCTTTGTTGAAAGTAGCCACAGGGTAAAATAACTGCTCTTGCCTGGACTGTTGACAGAGTCCTGTCCAAACTGAAAAAAGCAGGACACAAAACAAGGTGACTACCAAAATTTGCTAAAACAAGGAAGGGCAGTCCTTCAAAACTCCTGCTTCACAGAAAAGTCTACCAGATATTCTAAGCCTGTAGGTCAAAGATAGAGGTCCTAGTGTTGCAGAGCAACCTTGGGTGATTATCCAGGTATCCAACTGTTCATGGCATTTCTATAGTTTTAGAAGTTGCTTACTCAGGTAATATTATATCCTTCTTGGTTCTTTGATGTGGTTGAAGACCAGATTGTTATAGTTACAGGTTCCCTTGTTACCAAATTCAGAAAAGAGGGTTGCATAAGAGATATGAAGCTTATAAGTTTGAGAAACATAAAAGCTTAAGTTGTTTATCTAAGAAGACATTTTCAGGTCTAAAAAGATACCTTTCTGATGGTAGTAAAGTTTGTGATAGAAAATGGTTTAGGTACATAACTTTGGACTCACTAAGATAGGATAGATAATACCATACTTTCTGCAAATTTGCCAAATACAAATGGGCTGGATATTTTGAATGTAATTCTTACTTGATAATTTTTTTATTGTATATAATTTTACTTTGTTAGATTTAAAACCTTTCCTTTTGTTTAGACAAAATGGGGGTGCTGTGGGATATTTGTACACTGTGTGAAGATGTATTACCATGATTCTTGTAATAAAAAGCTGAACATCCAATAGCTAGGCAGTAGGTATAGGCAGGATTTCCTTGAAGAGAAAAGAAGATGAGGAGGAATTTAGGCATGTGGGAGATGCCAGGAGACACAGAGAGGAAACAGGAGGTACAAGATGGAAGAGAAATAATGGCATGTGATAGAACATAGTTTAATATAAATGGGTTAATTTGCATTATGAGAGTTAGGAAGAAGCCTAAGCTACAGGCTGAGCTTCCATAATTAGTAAGAAGTCTCTCTGTCATTATTTGGGAGCTGAAGGGCAGCAGAGAAAGACTCATTACACCTGAAGGCTGTGCCACATGCTCCAGGTTCCCTGTTTTTGTGATCTGGGGTAGGCCTTGGTGATGTGATTGTCATTTATGCTCCAGTAAGTAAACCCTTACCCATATTCTTTAAGTAACTCCAGTAAAATTCATTGGTTTACTAAGTTGGACTTTAGAGGTATCCATAATTGGGTCTGTTGTGGGCTCCCTAGAATCTGGGGTGAGTAGATCTGTGTGTTACTTCTCCCCAGGAAATGTTTTGTCACACAACAGCTGCTTTTGTAGAAAGAAGGTTGAAAGGGCACAGGGGAGGCAATGACTAACTTAGGAAATTGGAAATTCTTCATTTCTCAGAAAGTGCCTACTGTAGTTAGGCTATAAAAGATTAGTAGGAAATTGCTTTGAGAGTATGTCTCTGAATTCTAGGGTTCCATAGTGCAGTAAAAGGACATGGCCAGTGGTATAGCATAGTGGGACCAGTATTCAACCTATAGGATCAAAGGTAGACATTGACAAATATCCTATGAGAAATCAACCTTTCTCTGCCACAGTTTTAATGTCAGCTATTTCTGTAGAATGTGCCATTTCCAATTCCTAACATGGAACTTAGAAATAAAGCAAGATCCAGATGCTAATAATGATGATTAGAGTTTTATTATCAACTTGACCCAACCTAAAATCACCTGGGAAGAGGAAAGAATTTCCCAGGTCAGATTGTTCTGTGTCTGTAAGAGCTTGTTTTCATTGATGATTGATATGGGAGGCTCAGTCTACTTTGAGTGGCAACATCTTTAAGCAGGTAGGACTGAACTTTAAAAGAAAGAAAACCAGAGAGAAGGCAGTAAGTAGCACTTCTCTGTGGTCCTGCCTCCAGGTTCCTTTTTTCTTTTTTAACTTAAATTATAAACAATCCTGTTCTTAATCTGATTTCCAACAACTGTGAATTGTGACCTGGAAGTGTAAAACAAGAAGAAAACTAGAAGAACAGATATGCTCACACTGGTACAAAGAAAGCTGTGGTAAATGCACAATGATGAATCGAATTATATTTTAGATGTCAAAGAGCTCATGTTACAAGTCCTTCAAATACCTTTGTCATGATAAAGAATTCTCTTACATGCTGAATGATGACCCTGAAGCTTATCTGAATACTGAAATGCTACATTTAAATTTGCTCAAAGAAACGATCATTGCAAGTTAAACAGGCCTTAAAAATGGTCTAGAAGTCAGAGAGTGTCAAGATGAAAGTCAGTAGTTGTGCAGAGCAAGGGTTGTCCATAGAACCACATGTGGGACAGGGTTTTTAATCTTTGACAACAACCTAATAACTTAGTAATAAATGAGGATATAAAATGAACAATCAAGCCATTCAGACAAGCCATTATGGTAAGTGTTGATGCTATAAAATTGTATGGAAGCAAATCAGCTGTTTAATGGTATCAACTTGGTAGAAAAGCCTTGATTTTTCCTCATGTTACATCATAGGGTAAAAAAAACTTACCTCCCTGGGCTCAAAGTCAGGCATGTGTGAACATTTTGCATCTGCATTTTCTCTTTTCGGTAAGTCACATCTGCTGAGACGATCCAGACCATAAGCCATAGCATACACAGCTTGTTTGACATTGTTTGTGATTCTGAGCTGAGATACATCCAGATAGGTATTTTTCAGGTCTTCCAGCTTCTCCTCCCCAGTGCAGAGCTGATCAGACATGTCATATAATCTGTCTTCTTTGCCAGTCATATTCACTCTGTGGTCCACATTGTAAGGCACACTGCTATTGGGCCAGGTACAGTTAAAAGCAGTTTGTCAGAATTCAATGGTCAAGACATCATTTGGATCCTTGCTAGGATGTACATCATAAAGAAATTCTTTCAGTCCTGGTATCACTGTTCTTGGTACTGCAAATCCAATAGTTCCACCAAAATATGGAAAGTACTCGGGCTTTGCAATGAGGGCTGAGGTAATCCAGGCTTCACTGGCTATCCAGGTCCTGTCAGTTATGTTATGATGAACCACTTCCAGCACAAAGGGGCTGAGGTCAATGTCAGTTGTAAAAAGCACAATGACTCTGGCAGTAGACTTCTTCACTGCAGTCACAGCATTTTGCATTTTCTCATTGGAGTAGACTTTGGGAATGGTTTCAGAGAAAGCAACACAGAGGTTGGAGCTTTCCATTTTTTCCCTAAAGGATTTTACTCCATATTTTCCATAATCATCATCAGCTGCAATAGCGCCTACCCAGACCCAACCAAAGTGTTTGATGAGAGTCACCATGGCCTCAGACTGGATCTTATCACTGGGTATTGTGCGAAGATAAGATGGAAACTGGAATTTGTCACTAAGAATTGGGCAGGAAGAAGTATAGCCCACCTACAATTGAAAACATTTATAGTTATTAGGAAGCCAGAGCCAAATATTAAATGACAGCTTCAGAATATTCTCTCTTGGCCCCCACATCCTTCCACAGACAATGACTTTTTATGGGTGCATCTTCCTGGCAGCTGGGGACTATTCTGGGTTACACTTTGGTTGTCCTATCAACTTAAAGGGTGTCAGGGCTGCCACTTGTTAAGAGGACTGTCAATGCACTAGTTTTTGTGGGTGGGTGGGGGAGACAGCATTGTCAGCTCAGCCATTTTCACTTTCCTTTGTCCTCCTGGACATTGGTGACTCTTCTGGGTCAGGATATCAGGACTCTTCTTCAGATTTAGCATCCAATGTGCAGAGATGATGGACCGAGTTCAAGCCTTTGGCTCCTGTACTCTCCCACTCTCACCAGTGCTCCCTTACTTCCCTTCTGTTCTTTCTTCTCTCTTTTAGTTCCTTCTGGAAGTCTCCTGAGTACATAGGTCCTAAAACTTTCCCTGAGAGATGATAGAACACACTAACAAATCAGAAATTCAAATACCATTCTCCAACAGAGTTATCAGAACTCTATTTTTAATGTGCAAGGCTCAAAAATGAAAAAGTGTGCTTTTATCACTTGGTCAATACTCATTGTTTGTATTTAGCATTTTGGGGGACCTAAGCATGGAGATCAAGGGAGCCCCTTTATCTGAAAATCTTTTATGTATCTTCACTGTAGCCTGCCCTCCATGTTGCTGGCCTGTACCTTAAAACCTGTCACCTTTTCCCTACCCAATCTCTCATGTCACTAACCCATCACCTCCAGTCTGATCTTCTTTAACTCTATAACCCCAGACAATTGATTCCTTCATGAATGCTTCCTTATTCCTATGTTCTCTTTTTCTGTCTTTTTTCCCATTCATTTATTTAGCTCATAAATAAAGTCATGCACAATTATGATACAGAATACAGTATGTTCACAATGGCATGGCTAAATTAAACCAATTAACATGTTATATCACACATATTCATCATTTTTTGAGAACACTTAATGTATACTATCTCACAACTTTTAAAATATAGCATATTGTTATCAACCATGTTTATCATGCTCTCAGTAGACCTCAAGACTTCAGAGTCCATGCCTCTTGTCCATCCTGTCATTTTTTTTAACTCTTCCTATTTTACTGGGCAATGTTTGTATTTTCCAAACATACAGCAGATTCATGGGAAGTTTTCTGTAGGAACAAATCTCTTTGAGAGGAAATGACATCAGATGTCTAAGGTTTGCTAAATTATTTATCATAAAAGATCTTGTTACTTGAGCCTCTTCAGTCTACGTTTCCCCCCAAGAAAATAAGCACAACAATGACTTAGACTTTAAGACTTCTTCATATCAAAGTATTAAACAGAAGATTTATTTTATCTTTTCCTTCCCAGATTTGCTAAAAGACTTCATGGAGAAATACATCTAGAGGTCTCTACCCATGCTTGAGTCTCAGAAGGGTTTAATGGAAAACAGTGTTCAAAGCAGCTTCAGTTTGGATGAGCTACATGAAGCCCATCCCTAAGATACATTCCAAGCCATCCACCTTTCCTCACTTTCTGTTTTCAGGTACTTTCCTGTTCTCACACGCACACTTGAAGTTCTCTAAGTACTATGTTGGGCTGAGGTTGTAGGTCATTAGTGTTGCATTTGTCTACTATGAGCTGGTCTGTGTATTTTATCCCCAGCATCACAAGACAGACAGGGAGAGAGAGAGAGAGAGAGAGAGAGAGAGAGAGAGGGAGGAAGGGAGGGGAGAACAGAAGGAAGAAAAAAGGGAGGAGGGAGGGAGGGAAAGAAAAGTGAAATACTATGCGTGGGATACTCCCATTACTTCAGTAGCACCAATAAGCTTGCTCATCATTCATATTAATACATTCTGACACCTGAATGAAATGCCATTGAAATAACTCTATAGTTTTTTAATTTTTCTTAATAATTCATCCTTTGCAGTTATTTATTCATGTGCTGACATATGCCACCCCTCTCTGGGTTTAAAATATCTTATTAAGTTAGCTAATGTGAAATTCCTAGGCCCATTTTAGCATGTCAGCATGATGATTTTTCTCATGCATAACAAGCATTAACAGAGATCCAAACAAAAACTGGTCCATATTCCAGCCATCAATCTGCCACCAAGTATTTATGGATGAGCTCTGCTGTGCTCCACACCATGCATGGAACATGGTGACTAGTGAGATGTAATATCCTCATCACCACATCTCAGTCAGTGGAAGGAAGGTGCTCCAGGAGAGGGAGCAATCTTCAGTCACCTCTAAATAGGCCTTAGTGTAAACGGCTGGGGCTTGTCTGAGTAGAGTAACTGAGACCACCCAGCCCATTTTGATGTCTTTGTAGCTTAGCCTCTCTGCTTTTGGGGCCTCACAGCCATTTGCAATAATTTCTACACAGTATTTACATTTTCCTTTCCCTTCGTTCCTTCGTTCCTTCGTTCCTTCGTTCCTTCCTTCCTTCCTTCCTTCCTTCCTTCCTTCCTCTTTCTTTCTTTCTTTCTTTCTTTCTTTCTTTCTATCTTTCTTTCTTTTTGAGATAGGGTTTTCTCTATGTAGCCATGGCTGGAATTTGATCTGTAGACTGGGCTTACCTTGAACTCACAGAGATCTACCTGCCTCTACCTCCTGACTACTGGAAATAAAGGCATGTGCCACCTAACTCGGCACAGCATCTGTATTTTTTTCTAAGGACATAGCACAATATTCCAAGATACCTGAGGCATGTAATACAACCCCAGAATTCTTGAAGCAGCAACTGACAAGGATGATCCCCCAGCTCCAATAATTCCTACTAGATATTTTCCAGTGCTGTTTCTAAAATTGGGCTGGAATTCTTCTTGTCCTGTAAGAAATGCCAAAGCTGTCTCCATTGTTTTGGCGATGGTATAGCAGGTGTCAAATATCTGATAGCCCAGAGTGTGGTTGGGCAAAATGTCCTTCCGCTCATTAATCTCCTTGATGGTGTGGATCATGGTTTTCATCCAGCGGAATCCCCGGAAGTTAAACCTGGAAAACAAAGCTTTTGTGAGGGACTGGTCACTGGGGTGGGGGTAAGGGTGGGAGTTGGGGTGGGGGTGAGTGTGAGAGTGGGGCTGGGGGTAAAAATGGGTGTTTAGGCACTATTCCCAGAAGAAGCTTCAGTTACATGAGTGGTTATGGCTTAAGCAGCAGGTCCCTCAGTTGTCTGCATCTGTCAATTTTTCATAAATGACATTACAATCTTAAAAGATCCAAATATTAGTTCTATCTAGCCTTTCTAAGTGACTGTTTTAAGTTTTCTTGCCTTATATGTTTCAATATTTTCAAATTTATTGTTGTTTCTTTTCAAAAATTGTTCTTTTATTTCTTGTGACTAGTTCTAGTCACAATTCTCATTACAAAATACATCCTGCAATCCCTTAGATCATGCTTTCTCATTTCACTGCAAGGCCCTAGGGACATGTCTCTTTTCTCCTCTGTGACTTATTTTCTTCTGAACATTAATTATAATGAAAAAGATAAACAATTTTAATATACTAATACATATGGCAGAAGTTACTAAATGCAGTATGAAAATGTTTGTATAGTTTGACTAATTAAATCTTGTATCTTGCAAAAAAATAATGTATCTCGCTGGTGAGAGGTGTTTAACTGAAGTTGTCTTCTTGCTGTTCTCACATATAAATATTAATGTGAGCCTCCTACTTTTAATCCTTCAGACACTAATAAGGGAAGTATTTCTCCTGCGGTCCAACACTGTATTATTTTTAAGGCCTTCTGCATGAAATAACACCTAACCCCTTCTTTTGTTGCCCCCTTTCACTTGAATTCTAGCCATACTTCAACAAAATTCTGCAAAATAATTATGAGTAACTGTTCTCTTACTACCCTCTATAGCTAGCTGTAGTAACTAACTTTATATCTCCAGCTTCGTAAATATTTTAAATTCAATACCTAAAATTAAATATCTCTGTGGACAACTCAGAATTTTCCTTCCTGACTGTGTGTATGTATATTTTGATGCTTGTGGAGCTGAGATGTCAATGTCATCCTTCTTCCTCAGTCACTCTGCCTTGCTGTCTGAGAGGTTCTCTCACTGAACCTGGATCTTGACTTGGCGAGCCCAGCTGGCCAGCAAGCCCTAGTGATCTTCCTGTCTCTCCCTACTGAGCAATGGGATTACAGAGTGTCACCATACTTAACGTTTTGTGGGTCTTGGCACCTCTAACTCAGGTCCTCATTCTTGCAAGGCCAAGACTTTACCAAATGAGCCATCTCCCCAGATGAGTCTATTTAATTCTTGTTTTGCCTTAGTTTTGCTTTTGATTTAGTATGAAGCTATGGAGTTCCTCTATAAACCGCTATAAATATAGTAATGAAGAGACTATATATATAAATATAGTAATGAAGTTTGTTTACCCAGAAAATGTTGTCATATGTAAAGAAAGAGAAAAGTAACTAAGCAAGGTTATACAATGGAAAAAAAGAATCGCATCTGCAACAAGTGGTATTGGCATAACTGACTTTGGACATGTAGAAGATTGCAGATAGATCCATATCTATCGCCATGCACAAAACTTAAATCCCAATGGATCAAAGACCTCAACATAAATTCAGCCACACTGAACCCCCTAGAAGATAAGGTAGGTGGTACCCTTGCACAAATTGGTACATGAGACTGCTTTCTGAACATAACACCAGTAGCACAAACATTGAGATATACAATTAATAAATGGGACCTCCTGAAACTGAGAAGCTTCTGTAAGGCAAAGGACACAGTCAGCAAGACAAAATGCCAGCCCACAGAATGGGAAAATATATTCACCAACCCCACATCTGACAGAGGGCTGATCACCAAAATATACAATGAACTCAAGAAGCTAGTAACCACTTTGGAAATCAGTATGACAGTACCTCAGGAAAATGGGAATCAGCCAACTTCAAGATCCAGCAATCCCTCTCTTGGGCATATACCCAAAAAATGCACAGTCATACAATAAGGACTTATGTTCATAGCAGCATTATTTGTAATAGTCAGAACCTGGAAGCAACCCAGATGCCCCTCAACTGAAGAATGGATAGAGAAAATGTGGTACATTTACACAATGGAGTACTACTCAGCAGAAAAAAAAACAATGGAATCTTGAAATTGACAGGCAAATGGATGGAACTATAACAACCCATCCTGAGTGATGTAACCCAGTCACAAAAAGGTAAACATGGTATGTACTCACTCATATATGATTTTAAGACATAGAGCAAAGGATCACTAGTCTACAATCCACACTGCCAGAGGAGCTAGGAAACAAGGAGGACCCCAAGAGTAGATTGCATAGTCCCTCAAAGAAGGGGAAAGGGACAAGAACCCCTAAACAAAGTAGGAGCACAGGGCATGGGTGGAGAGGAAAGAGGTAAGAAGAGAAGAAGGGGAGGGGGAGGAGAACAAGAGGACTGAGACAGGGGAGGAATAGAGGAGGGCAAGAAAGGAGATGTCTTGATAGAGGGAGACAGTACACTTATGTAGAGAGGTCTGACACAGGGGAAATGTTAGGGGATCCACAGGGATGACCCCAACTAAGAATCTAAGCAGTGGTGGAGAAAATGCCATTGATGCCCTTCCTCTATAATGAGATTGGTGTTTACCTTTGTTACCATTCCTAGATCCTTCATCCAGTAGCTCTTCAAAGCAGAAACAGGCACCCACACCGAAGCACTGAACCATACCCCTGGAATCCAGTTGTGTAGAGGGAGGAGCGATGAGCAAAGGAACCAAGGCAGTGCTGCAGAAACCCACAGAAACAGTTGACCTGACCTAATGAGAGCATGGAGACCCTAGTCATAAAGCTGGGGAAACAATATTGGACCCTCTGAATGTGGGTGCTAGCTAGGAGGCCAAGACAGTCTATGGGACCTCTAACAATGGAGCCAGTCTTTAACCCTAGAGTACAAATGGACTTTGAGAGCCCATGCCCTATGGAGGGATACTATTGCAGCCAGATACAGCAAGAAGGGCCTAGGCCCTCCCCCAAACGATATGACAGACTTTGAAGGTCCCTGGTGGAGGGCCTCACTATCCCTGGGGAGGAGTTGGGGGATGAGTTGAGAGGGGTTGATTGGGAACATGGGAGGATGGGAGGGCAAGGAAATAGGGGGATAGACATGTAAATATGAGTAGTAATTAAAGAATTTAAATAAAAAAGGAAAAAGTAAAATAAGAAAAAAAAAAAAACAGCATTGAAGATGCAGACATCCACAGCTAAACACTGAGCTGAATTCTGGAATCCAGTTGCAGAGGGGGAGGAGGGATGAGCAAAGGGGTCAAGACCAGGCTGGAGAAACCAGAGAAACAGCTGACCTGAACAAGGGGTTGCTCATGGATTGTTCCAGACCCCTTGAAGGAGGAAGTCAGTTTGGATGTCTGGACAATCTATGGGGCCACTGGTAGTGGATCAGTATTTACTTCTAGTACACAAATGAACTTTGGGAGCCCTCTCCACATAGAAGGATACTCTCTCAGCCTAGAAACACTGGGGAGTGTCTAGGCCCTGCTCCAAATGATGTGACAGATTTGAAGATCCCCATGGAAGGCCTCGCCCTCCCTGGGAAGCAGAAAGGGGTTGGGATATGGGGTTGGGGTGGAGGACAGGGGAGGAGGGAAGGGAGAGGGAACTAATATTGACATGTAAAAGAAGCTTGTTTCTAATTTAAACAAACAAAACAGCATCGACAGGGGAATGAGCAATGAAATACAAACTCCATGCAGCCTGAGCAAACTAAGAGCAAGGCCAAGGCTAGGACAATAGAGAGATGAGAGAGGGCTGCAGACAGACAGCATGAATAAGGACAGACAGCATGAGGAGAGGGTTGCAGACAGATAGCATGAATGAGGAGAGGACTACAGACAGACAGCATGGGGAGAGAGCTGCAGACAGACAGCATGAATGAGAAGAGCACTGCAGACAGACAGCTGGTGGAATGTTGCCACAACTAGAGAAGGTGTAACATTCAAGGATGAAAAGATGAGCATTTTTGGAAGGCAGAGTAGAGGCAGCAACACAATTAAAGAAAAGTAGCAAACACAAGGGACCAGACACAACCTAATCCTTACTTTACAGGTTCACACTGATGGCAAATATAGTTTCAAAATAAGCACAACGGTATCTTTTAAACTAAGATAGCATTTCATTTCAAGCTAGAAATATATACACCTGCTTTGAGCTTGTAACTCCACCTTTAAATTAGGCAAAAAATTGTTATCTTAGGATAAAATGAAAAAGCTATCTGCACCAAACTGCATTATTTACAATATTGGAAAACTGGAATAATCATCTATGTCTAGTGGTGGTTCACCTGCTGTGTGGGAATATTGTCCATATTCTAAAAAAAAAAAAACCTCAACTTTTGTTGAAAATATATTTCAGAAGGTCCAGTAAAGATTGGAGACCAAAGTAAGTAATTCAGTTTACGGAAGATTAGTGTGGTACACCATGATAAAATGTAAAGAAGTGAATGAAAGCTGTGATTAAGTGATGATCTGTTGCTATGATAACTAAGCAGACCTTCAATTCTTGACCCTTTTGCTTCCCCATGAGAATGAAAACCAATTATTTGGATGAAGAAAGTGATAATTGTGGGCTCATCACAAAGTTTTCACTTTATCAGTATAGAAGATAGTTCCTTCCAAAAACGACTTGAACATCAACCATGGAATGGTAAAAGAGGAAAGGAGTTGTGACTGGTATCGACTTAATCAGCAAAGAAACTGGAAAAATATTTAAATACACCTTTACAGCAATAACGACCACACAGAGTTATGGAAAACCTTATGTGTTATGTAGTATGTCCAATATAAATAGTGCCTGTGCTTCTGTCATACTATTTAAAATCATAGGCTTCTTTTTTAAAAGATCTAGAAAGAGATATAAAAATTTAAAAAATGCTGCTATGTGAATCCAATGAAATTTTAGGTGATTGTTTTGTCTTCTTTTAATTTCTGGCATATTTCATATGTAAACTCCTCTCTTCTCTCTCTCTTTCTCTCTCTCTCTCTCTCTGTGTATGTGTGTATGATAGATACATATATTCTCAGACATCTTATACCAACTTTGCTTTTCTCACAAAAGTATCAGGAATTCTATTTCTTGATAGGATATCTTGGAGGAGTCAGCAGCAGGGACAGAAGTTTTTCTGCTCATCAGAATCTTGCCATGAATGTTGCCTCAGAAACAAGCCAGAGTTCCCACACTGCACACTTGAACTCCAGATTGTAGTAACTAACAGTAATTGTTAATGTTAGTGTGTAGCTGCAGCCACACTTAGTGGGTTCTGTGCTTCTCAAACCTCAGTGTTCTTGTGAACCAACAGAGGTCCTCTGAAAGTGAAGACTTTATTCAGCAGATGTAGGATGCAATGCCTGAGCCTATGTGTCTAACACATTTTTAGTGTGCTGCTGCTGGCCTATAGAGAACCCCCTGAGAAGCAACTTTCTGATGGGCAATCACTCCACTCCCCATCCTGTCTCCACCAAACACTCTTTAATCTGAGACAAAACCAGAATCATAGAACTTCAACTGGAATCCAGCCTCCATGCTAACCATTCTTCTCCAGGCACCCAAATGAATGTGAAAAAAAGATTAAACAATGGCTTACCCTTCACACATGGCTGATACGGGTTCTCCATCAGGGTCATCTGTTGGGATTGTCCTAGAGTGGATAGGAAATAGTCCTCCAATAACAACTGAATGGTTTTTGGCTTCTACATATCCAGTCAAATTAAACTTGCGCAGCAACCTGCATTTCTGGTCTTCCTGTTGTGCATGTGCAACCCATAAAAATGCAGTTAATCCCAGAACCAAGCACCTCTTCCTGCTAACCATTTTAATATGGCAAGTTTAAGGATAATGGAAGTGATGAAATTGCACACGTTTTAAGGAAGCACCTTGATGGAGCGTTGGAGTGTGTATGTGCCTCAACCCAGTGACCTGCTTGCTGCTCCTTGCTACATAATTTCTTGCCCTGTCACAGATCTCCCAATCACTTGCAATTTGTGGATCTGGACTAGGAGCTGAGCCATCTTCTACATAGAGACACCTGAATATCCTGCATTGTTTGCAATGACAAATATTGACAGAATCATGGGTTTCTGGTGAAAGGTATTGTAATATATAGAAACTGCCTTCTCTTGTTTAGTCCTTTGCCAAGTCTCACTGTAGCCAACTCTGTGGTCTTCTCTACCCCAAAGATGATGACAAATATCAATAAGTACCAGAAGAGGTGACAGCAGGCCACACTTTCTCTTTCAGTTACAGAAACAACTGAATAGAAAACGGTGAGAATTAGAATAGAAGACTTCAAGGCAAATCTGTGTTCCCCCATTTTTATTATTATAATGGTAAGAACATCACATGTTTTCTGTGCCACAATAACCTTAATGGCTAAGTGACCTTAGGAAAATTCTGCTGAGCCCCAGGACTTTGTGCATGCCAGGTAGGCACTCTGCTACTGGCCCCATCTCCAGCCACTTCTGTGTCCTTGCTTGCCAGCCTTCACTCAAACACAAATCTATTTTCTCTAAGTCAATTCATCATGATTCCCAGGCTCCCAGTCACCCTCTCTGCTCCTTCTCAAACATCCCCCAGCCCTTAGTATACAGTTCATCGCTCAAAGTCAGAGTAGAGTTTAGCACAAATTTCTGGATCATAGAAAATGTGTAAAACATTTGATCACAGGGTTTTGCTCTAAAGGAAATTTATAGGAACCAGAAGAGAGAAAAAAAAAAAAACTAAACAAATCTTTGTGTATAAGTTTTACTTATAACACTAATTTATAATAAACTAAAAGAATGTCATAGGGAATTTGGAATCAGGTATAACTTAGTCACCAGATGGATTACAGGGTCCTATAGATTATATTCCTGAAAGAGAAACCCCAATACAAACCAAGTGAAACTAGCAGCTATCAGTCAGAGTGTCAAGGACACCAGAACAGTGCCTATAGAATCACCTAAGCAGGGCTCATGAGGCCTCACAGAGACTGAACCCCAGAGCCTACATGTTTCTGCCCTAGACCCTTTGCATACTGTGGTTGTTTAGCTAGGGGTTTTTGTGGGATCCTAACAGTGGGAGTGGGGGTATCTCTGACCCTTTTGTTTGCTTCTGGGACCATTTCCCTCCCACTGGGTTGCCTTCTTCATCCCTGATATGAGGGTTTGTGCCTAGTTTTACTGCATCTTGTTGTGCCCTATTTGGTTGATATCACAGGGAAGCTTGATCTTTTCTGAAGGGAAATGGAGGAACAGTAGATTTGGGGGAGAGGGGAAATAGGGAGGCAAACAGAGAGAAGTAGAGGTGGCAAAGTGTTGGTCTCGATTTGAGAAAAAATTTACTAGTATTTTATAGTTCTTTAAGATACTACGTAAAGATACTATGACTACATATTATCTTTAAAAGGCTAAAAAGGAGTCAATGTGAGATAGAAGTCTAAAGCAGGGGCTGTCATCATTCTTACTGTTTACAGCCAATCATCTTTGTGTTTCCACATTTATTATTTCTTTTTTGGTCCAACCAATGCTCACATAACAAACTGGAGAGCTATATTTTGTATAAATTTTTAACTCTCATATTTCTCTCTGTTATCTCATAGAGTATGAGCAAGTTGTTTCTATTTCTGCAGTGAATGAATGTATTCCACTGAAAGACCTTTCTTCTCAGTTTTAAAAACAATTCTTCCCACATGCTCCTCCAATTATAACCCTGACATGAATATGTTTTTCACCTGATACCATTAGGATCAGCAGTCACCTGGACCACACCTCATCATGACGGTCATTGCCTTTACCTTATCCTCTCAGTAAGATTTCTTAATAGTTGGTTAAGCATAGTCTATATCCCACCGACCCTAGAGTTTCCAAAAAGAAACACTCTCATTTCTAATTCACTGGTGTACTATGAGCCTATGGTCATTTCACCACAGTTGGCTCTACCTTCAGAATACTGCCTTGACCACAGGTCATCAGTGTGTCAAGTGTCTAGAGAATCTTCACTTTCCAAAATGTGGACTTTTCACAGCATCTCCCCTTGTACTTTCAAGATGTTGCTGACAAGACTTAGTGAATAGACAGATTGTCTCAGGACTTGTTCCCTAGATGCACCTCAGAGTTTGGCTTCATGTAATAAATTATCACACTGGGTGAGTGACCATTCCTCACTGCCTCACATGGGCATCCCTTCCGAGTTTATGGTCTTAGTCCAGTTTTCTCAGAGTGCTTCAGAATGACTCCTCACTCCTGCTTGGCCTCCCTTTCTTGCCTGAAGGCAGCTGTTCCTGGGCAATTACCCTTTGGTTACCAAGGATACCCCTTGGCAATGGTATGTTTATCACCCACAGTGATTGTCCTAATCCTCTCAGGAAATGCTGTGCTCAAGACCATAAAATTATCAGCATATATTATATTATATTACATTGTTATTTTAAAACTAGTATTTTATATTTTCAAATGGTCTCCTCATTCCTTAGTCTTCCTCTAGGTTAGGTATTATTTTGAGGGTTGGAGAAGCTTCTGATTTTTGCACCAGCATCTGGTACCCAGTTGCAGAATCTTCAAAACACTGGTATGTTTTTATTAGGACCAGAGTGACTGCATCCTCCAAGTGCCATAGAATTACACAAAGATAAAGCAAAGGCAACAAAAAGCCATCTCTGGGCTCTCCCAGGGAGAGGTCTTGTGAAATGCACATTGATGGATGCTCAATGCTTCATTTCTCAACAAAACTCCTCTGTTGACTGTTTTTGTTTTTCTTCATTTGGCAAGCGAAGTGACATGAGCTCACATGGCTAATACATGTTGAAATACAGGCACAAAAGCTCCTGTCTTGTCTTAAACCGTGAAAAGAAAGGACAAGAGTGAAATCTAGGAGGGTGGATTCTAGCTTTAGTCTCTTCACTAGTTGGCCCCTACTTCTCTTGGGATCCCAGGTCCTTTATCACATGACAGGGCTCTTTATACATAACTGTCTTGTTTCTTTTTCTTATTGTTCTTTTTGTTTGTTTTTCTGACTCCAAGGATCCTAATGTGTCAGGAATTCTCAGGTTGTGATGAGTCTTTCCAAGATTCAAACTCAATGGCACACTACCATTAATGGAGTCCAAGCTATCAGTGGGAATTGTCTCTCAAGGTGGGATTGTGTCTTTCACTGTGTTTTGAAATTCGGTTCAAGAATCCCTGACTCAGGCAAAGATGCCATATGAATGCCGGTGTAAATAGCCATGGGTGTTTAATTACATGTGAATATCCCTAGCCTCCTGGGTCTGAGACCTGACTGTATGCTCCTCTATTATACCCTGCTGTGTTTAATTCTTGCAGATCTCTAAGGGCTCTGGCAAATGTCTGGCTGCCTCCAGGAATAGTGACAGATTTTGCCCAGACTTGTCTTTTCCTCTAAGCAAGGAAAACACCAGAGTCTGTAACACTCAAATCAACACAAAGAGTATTCAAAGGTTTTGAGCAGCCACAGCTTGTCAGATGTTACATGTCCTTTACCTTTTCCCTACATCATTGCTTCAGCTTTTTGGCCATTGTGAATACCATCAATATTTGTACATGACAGTATATACATGGGCACACTAACCTTAATCTTGTTTCCCATGCAGAACTCTCTGAATCAGTAGGGAAATGAAGACTTAGCTAGTTATGTGTCTTCAGGATGCTCTTTTTATTTAGGATGGCATTGAGATCAGTTGTCTCCTGCTCTAAGTCATTCCATGCTGGTGCAAAACAATGTTCTTTCAGACTTTAATTTGCCACAAGAGACACCATTTTAAAAGCAGCCTTTGATTCTATTTGAGAATAGAGGATGTCTGTGAGTCTGTGTGGCCACTTCCTGAAAGGAGCATATGGCAATGGTTGGTTTGGGAAAGTAGCTAACACAAAATACCATTTAGAAATGAACTTCATTGAGAGGGTCTTGCAACATTGGGAGCCATAATCAGGCTTTGAGTTGAGAGAATATTATACAGACAGGATATGTCATACTTGAGACATCATAATAAGGCCTTAAAGGGAAAGAGAGGCTTCCCTTTAAAAGCCAGAGAGGAGCTTCATTAAGAGGAATACTTTACAGTAGGAGAATGATAGCTTCCCTAACACGGTGTGTCCTGGGTAATTTTTGCCACCTTGACACAACTAGTGTCACCTGGGAAAAGGAAATCTCAATCAATTGCCTCCACCAGATTGTCTTGTGTTCATATCTTGATTGTTAACTGATAAATGAGAATCCATCCCACCATGAAGATACCATCCTTATACAATGGGGTCCTGGCTGAATGAGACAGGTAGCTAAGCAAGTCATGGAAAGCAAGCCAGTAAATAGCATTCATTACTCTGTGGTCTCTGCTTCATTCCTTACTTTCAAATTCCTACCTTGACTGATCTCAATGATGGTCTGTAAGCTGTAGACCAAATCAACTCTTTTCTTACCAAGTTGCTTTTAGTCAAGTTGTTTACCACTATGGGCGAGACCCAAACTGAAGCAGGATGACAGGGTATGGTGGGTTGAATGGAGACTCTGCCTAACCTTGTTTCCTCCTTCTTGTGGACCTTCTCAGGACCCACTTCTAGCTCATTCCTATGTCTTTCTTTCTACCTGGAAACCCAGTGTCTACACCAGACTGGGGGTCAGGTAGGTGATGCATATCTCATCAAGTACAAAAAGTCATGCTGGTGCCTAACTGAAACCTTCACAGCTACTGGTACTGGAAGGTACTCTGCATGTTACCAGAGGAGAAAGGTAAACACCAAAGCAATTACAAACACATCTATCTACAATAGTGACCTGCCTGCAGGACATTCTACTACAACAGTGGCACAAATATTGTGGGT